GTGTGAAGAACGTGGCATCACGACTGGAGGGTTCATTAACAACGACACCCTCCTTGGAACTTCACACCAACAACATCCATCTCCAGGAGTCCTGGTGTGGCGCTACAGAGTAAGCACTGGGCCACAAGGTTGGTTTGAATGGCAAGGTCGGCAATTCAAACTCACAACTGGTCCTCAGAAAGCCTACACTTAACAACTACAATATATACAGTGAGTCCTGGTGTGACACTGTAGGGTAAGCACTGGACTAAAAGTCGGTTTGAACTGTAAGGTCAGTTGTTCAAACCCACCAGCCGCTTCTCGAAAACCCCATACAGGGTCGCTATGAGTAGGAACCGACTTCATGGCACTTAACAACAATATACATCCAGGGAGTCCTGCTGTGGTACAGTAGGATAAGCACTGGACTGCTAATCACAAGGTCAGAGGTTCAAACCCAATAGCTCCTCCTTGGAAACCCTATACAGAGTTGTATATATCCAGGCACTCTGATGGCGCAATAGGATAAGCACTGAACTGCTAACTACAATGTCAGCAGCTCAAACCAGCTGCTCCAAAGAGAGAAAGATGAGGCTATCTGCTCCCATATGAGTTTACAGCCTCAGAAACCCCACTGTTACCATGAGCCAGACTGACCCCCAGCACAGTGGGTGGTTGTGAGTGTGCAGATGACAAGCTTGCTTGCTGAAAGCAAAGAGGACTTGAAATACTTACTGATGAAGAGCAAAGATGACATCCTTCAGTATAGATTACACTTCAATGTAAAGAAAACTCAAATCTTTACAACTGGACCAATAAATAACGTCATGATAGAGGAAAGATGGAAATTGTCAGAGACTTCATTTTGTTTGTATCCACAAGGAACACTCGAACACTCTTGGGAGCAGCAGTCAAGACATTTAACAACATATTGCATTAGGCAAATCTGCACAAGATCTCTTTAAAACATTAAAGCACAAAGATGTGACTTTGAGGACTAAGGTGTGCCTGGCCCAGGTGATGGTATTTTCAATTGCTTCATCTGCATATGCAAGTTAGACAATGCATCAGGAAAATTGAAGAATAATCTATGCACTTGAATTGGGATGTTGACAAAGAATATTGAAGGCACCAGTAACTACCAGAAGAACAAGCTAATCTGTCTTAGAAGCAGAGCCAGTTGGCTTGTGTATGTACATCAAATATTTGTGCTTTGTTCCTTTGTGAAATGTTAGATGCAAAAGGGAAGCCACAGGGAGGAAGTCAGGTCACTGCTGTTGCTGTGGGGAGGGGGCTGTAATCATTGAGATGAAACAAAGGGGTAATTTGGTGAATGAAAAGCTGATGATCTTGTTTGATCCTTCACTCAATGCACGATAAAAAAACAAAAGCAGGTATAGCTAGAATGCACTTAGAAGCGAGGATGGCAAAACTTCATCTCTCGTACTGTCCACACGTTGTCAGGAGAGATCAGTTCCTGGAGAAGGACACCATGCTTGGTTAGGTGAAGGCTAACAAACAGGAAGACCCTCAGTGAGGTGAACTGACACAACACGGTGGTCTCACCCATAACAAGTGTGAGGTGGGCCCAGCACCAGGCAGTGTTTCATTCTGTTGTGCATAACCTCACTGAGCTGGTACCTAACAACAGCAATATGGCAACTCAGTGTTTAATGATTCGAGAAACCGTCATAATTGTTTTCCAAACATGGCTAGTCATTCTCCATTCCCACCAGCAGAGCAGGAGCGTTCTGAATTCTTCACAATCCTGACAACATGTGTTATCTGACTTTTTACTTCTAGACCCGAACCAAACTCAATTTCATTGTCATCAAGTACGTTCAGACTCAGGGTTCCTCTTCCTCCTTTCCAACTGTTCCCCTTCCCTTGCAGTTGGCAGCCCGATGCTCAGTCTACAGCACCGCCCGGGTTCCTGTGTGGCCAGCCCCTTGTTGCTTTGTGTTGTCAAATTGGTTCCAACTAACAGCGCCCTGTACAGGATTTCTGAGAACAGCTGGTGGGTTTGAACTGCTGATCTTGTTGGCAGTCCAGTGCTTACCCTACAACGCCACACCAGGATGAAATGGCATCTTATTGTGGTTTTAATTCACATTTCCTTATAGAACAGAAGACCTTCCCAAGCTGCTAATTTTGGGATAATTTTCAGAAAAAAAAAGTAAAGTTGTAGCTACCTTATAGACACATGTCTACTAATGGTCTAGTGATATCATTCGTTCATGGGAACCAGGAAAGTCACCCAGATTTTTCTAGGAGGAAACGACAGACCTCACTCCCTCAGATGTGAGCCACAGAAAGAAACCAACTCATACATTTGCTTAAACAAGAAAGGACATTTGGGGTTCACATAACTGTCAAGTCCAGGGGTGTCTGGGCTTCGGATACAACTAGATTCAGGTGATTCCAAGATGCTGTTCTAGTCCGCCTCTCCCCACCTCTTGGCTCTGCTAGCATCTGAGTTGCTGTTCTCAGGTGGGCCCATAGACACACACCCAGCTCAATCACTGCGGGCGGGGGGCATGGGCACCATGACTGGCTGGGTTAGGCCAGAGGCAGGGGCTACTGCAAGACAGTCACCAGACTCCTAGTGGGCTCTGAGCCCCTGGACGATGCCATGGGGAGAATGAGGCCAGAGTATAGAATGGGGGAGGCCAAGTGGCCTCAGAGGGTAGGCAGCAAACTGATGACCACTCCCTCACAACCGGAGAGGTCTCAACCAAACACCCCCATTTTCTGGCACCACAGAAGCTGTGGTCACCTCAGAATTCCATAGGGTAGAGAGAGCCCCTTGAAGATCATCATCCCAAAAGGATGATGTACAAATTGGGACAGGACCACTCTTTACCATGTGTGGCCATGCCTGTAGCTACATCAGAAGCCACACCTGCCTGGAGCTCCAAGAGGCTGGGAGCATGGGTCTATGAGAGACAAGGCCTTCTACCTTCACACATTCAGCCCGGTAAGCCTTCCTTGCCCTCATGGGTTCCGTCCACCTGTGGTGGACCATGATCTGGTGGCCCCATTCCAGTTCAAAGAGTCAAGGGGCTCATTCCTTGTGGCAAGACAGTGGGCAGCCTCTGGGGCCAGGCATTGCCAACCCTGGGGACTGCCTTCTGGAAATGGCCAGCGCTACAACTCCTGTCTCCACCGTTGCCTTTCTCGAACACTCTCAGGTCCGCAGCTACAGACAATCCGCTCCTTGGAGACCACAGGCACCAGCAGAAAACTGTACCCACTCCAAGTGGGCGAGGCCACCATGGGCTCCTCCCACCGCTGAGGCCTCCTTGGGGTCTTTCTCAAGGGTCAGGCACTTTGGGTCCTTCCCTTGTTATTCTGATCCCTGCCCTGTTTCCGGCGGACACCAACAGGAAGGCCTTGGGGAACTTCAAAGGGTGACGCCTTCCTCCACAGCCAGAGCCGTCCTTTGCCCGCTCTAGATCTGGCCCCAGCATCAAGGCTACCTACCTTTTCAGGCTGGGCGACCTGTCTGCTCAACATCCAGGGAGCACGACAGGCGAAGCCAGACTCTGTTATCGGGTGGACAGGAGAAAAGAGGCCCCAAAGGCTCAGCCAGGGAGGGAACCGAGGCCCTGAAACCCTGGGCCATGCCAATGGCTGTGCCCTACATCCACCTTCTGGCTCCTGGCTCACCACCGGGGCACCTTCAAACCTAAAGCCCTCCCCGTCCCCCAAGAGGAGTGGATGTGCAGACCCCCCATACTAGATCGGGGTCAGAGTCAGATGGGAGCTTGGTCCAGCCTAGTCCTAGGTTCCAGTGGTCACGGGCTAGGAGGACCTACCTTCCTGCTCACTGGTTCTACCCAGACAGGGAGAAGGGAGAGGGAAAGAGGAAGCCAACCCTTCAAAGTCTCACATGTGACCAAGTCTAAAGGCCAGGAGACCTGTGAAGTCCAGGACAGGCATCCTGAGATGAGATCTGAGGAGGGACGCGGCGGCCAAGGGCAGGTGCCAACTCCCTCCATGGCCCCTGAATTCAGTGCCAGGGCCACACCGTCACGTGTGCAGACTGGGTCTGAGTGCCGCACTGGATCAAAACCCAGGTCCCTCCTGCCTCCATGGGTGGCCTTCCACGAGGTCCTGCACTCCATCACATGAATCCCCCAGCGCTCTCTATAGCCCTGCCTGTCTAGGATCTCATAATCCTTCCAGGTGTAGTCAGTGTGGAGACTCTGGCCCTGACAGCTGTCAATGTTAAAGTTCCAGAGCTACTGAGGCCAGGGCTAGGAGCAGGGCTTAGGCTGCTGAGGGCAGGAGCTACCCACCAGGGGCCCAGCTGAAGGCAGCCTGAGTAATGGGTTTACAGCGTCCAGTGTCCTGGGATAGATGGGCTGGCCCCACTTACCTAGCCGCTGCCATGGCCTACAGCTCACGCCAAACCTTGGCCTAAGTCACCAGTGGGCAAGCATCTATTCCCATGTCATGTGAGGAGACCAGACAAAACTGCTCCATCCTACCTGACCCTCATCCCCAGCTGGCTCCACCCTCACTGCCCCCAGGAGCTACCTGTGGGTCAGGGGCACTGGGGATGGGGGTTCTATTGAACTCCCCAGAAAACTGGTCCCCAGCCCTGGGAGCTGTGACCTTCCCCCACTTCCAGATAGTTCTCTGGTGGGAATCTCCAAGGAGGGGGATCGCAGGCTCAAGACCTATATAATAGATAGATAGTAGTAGTCTGGGGGTGGCCAGGGTCCTCTGGAGGGAGGCAGGGCCACCACTCCAGCTGTGTGAAGGAGGAAGCTGGCAGACCTGTCACCAGGAAGGATAAAAAGCTTTATTGTGTAAATTCTACAGCAGGTGCCCAGGTTGTCAGGGAGCCAAGTCCATACCCTGCCTGGTCTTTGGTCCCCACTTTAGCCTGAGTGTTAGGGTCCCCTGAGGAGTGTGCAGGTGTGTGGAGTGTGCAGGTGTGTGTGGCACTGTGGACACGGAGGCACTGAAGAAGCAGGAAGGACAGATGGGCAGTGAAAACCCCATGGCTCAACTCAGGGGCCACACACGACCAAGCAGTCCTCCCCGCTGCGGAACACGTGGTAGACACTGGTGGGAGGGAACATGGCCACAGCCCCAAGCAGGGAGCCCACCTGGATGGCCACACCTGCTGCCAGCAGTGCCTGCCGTCCACCGCCATGGAGCAGGGAGCTCGCTGCCACCTTCACATAGGAGAACAAGCCCAGACACAGAACCCACGACACCACCTGAGGATGGGCAAGGAGCGGGTTGGTCAGGGATGCCCCCACCCCTCCCTCGAGGCCCCCTCCTGGCTGTAGTGTTAGCTGGTACTCACCACAAGGACCACCCCTACAGAGGTGCCCACCAAGGGTGGGCAGGGGCTTAGGACGGCGAGTGTCATCAGGTAGGTCCCAAAGAGTACACCCAGCAGAGAGAGTGCAGCCAAGACTGCCAGGGACCTGCAGGGGAGCGGAGACTCAGGGCTGGCCGTGCTGGGACTGCTCCCCCGGGCCCGCGCTCCAGCCCTCTTTCGCACCTGCATAGCACGCCCATGGCCAGGAAGCAGGCAAGTGGGTTGGCGGTGCTGCCCAGCACTACGGCCAAGTGGTAGGCCAGGCGGCCATAGGGGAGGCAGGAGAAGCTCTGTACAGCAGGCAGCACCCCATTGGTCAGCGCATTGGTAACAGCGAGAAGGCCCAGCAGGCAGCCGCTGCGAGCTGACAGCAGGCCGTGGGCCTTGGGATTGGGGCTGGGGGTGGTGCCCGCTGCCGGGCTCAGTGGCTCCTGTAGAGGCAAGACCTCTTCCTGTCCATCCCCCCCCTCAGGACCAGCTCGTGGGGCCCCTACTTGAAGGCTCGAACTTGAGCTCCGCGTGGGTACAGACGGTGGTGGCAGGGATGGCAAGAGCAACAGCAGACCATGGAAGGCAGCAGCCGAGGTGACCAGAAGGACGGTCAGTGCCCAGAAGAAGGAAGTGGCCGAGAAACGCTCTGGGAAGTAGTGGGGGACCCCCTGGGTGCTATTGGAGGCTGGTGGGCATTCAAGGCGTCCAACCCCCTGTGCCAGGGCCAGCATGCAGGGCAGCAGGGCACTGAGGCCCTGACCCAAGAAGAAGGATCGTAGGAAGGGAGGAGATAAGTGGCTCAGGAAAGGCAGGAAAGTCACGTTCGAGGCGCAGCAGGCCAGCGCCAGGATTAGAGTCAACGTCAGGAAGGCCACCGAGTGTGGATGTCCTGCTACTGGTGCCAGGCTGTGCCATAGGGGAGCCAGCAGAGCTGTGCCCATCACGTTCAACGCCTGCACTGCACGGATACGGGTGCGCTCGCCCTTGCCGGAAGCCAGCCGCCCCCACAGCGTCACCACCAGCAGACCCAGGTTCCCCAGAGCCACAAGCACCGAGAGGTATGAGGGGAGACTCCAACCTGCAAGGCAGAGAGACCCGTTAGGGGCAAGACAATCAAAAGTCCTCGAGCGCCTCAGTCCACTTCCCTTCGACGTCCACTCACCCTCGGGGAGGTCCTTGACCACCACAGGCAACTCCACCCAGATTCCATTGACAGCTGCCCAGGAGCCCATGCCAAAGAGAGCCACCAGCAGGTGGGCCAACACTAGGTGAACCACTGGGGGCGCAGCCATGCAGCCCAAAGGTAGACCCTCTAGTGTAGGGTAGAGGTGACTGCAGCTTTGCTCTCTCCACCTCGGTCAAGGGCAGACCCTCTTCACCTCTTCTGGAAGCCAAAGGTCTCTTCTAAGTTGAAAGAAACGGACACAGGATTGCAGTCAGAGGAGAGATCAAACCACTAAGAGAACTGAAAAAGGCGCAGGAGAGAAGACAACGAAGCGTACCAAGGAACGCTGCCTGCCCGGGAGACAGGACGCAGAAATGCCCCGAGTGGAGAAGCAGGATCCGAGCAGCCCCAAGGGACGGTGGTGGAAAGCCGATCTTTCTATGCGCCAAAGACCAGGGTCTGAGCTGTCAACGTCGCCGCCACCCTCACCCCGAAGGAGACACGGAACAAGGACACCCGGCCGGGGGCACCTCCCAGGCGCCACACACCCCTAGAGTTTCTGCGCCCACCTGTGAGTTCGTGGCTTCAGCGACACCCACCGAGACAGGAGCCAAGACAGAAATGGAGGAGGGGAGTGGCCGAGGCGGCTCAGTCCAGAGCAGCGGCCCCGGCACCGCCCCCTTGCACGCGTCAGGTGGGCGCCGGGACAGTCGCCAGGTGCGCCGAGGTCCTTGCGCCTCCGGGTCCTGTACCCTGCGTGCTTCTCACCCAGCGGCCGGCCCCTACTCAGCGCTGTGAGGGGCGCTGCATCCACCCCAAGGATGCGGGCCCCGCCCGGAGCAAGCGGGACCAAGAGCTGCGGCTCAGCGAGAGCCGGGGCTGGCACTTTTCCGCCGATACACCGGGAACCAATAAGTTACAGCCAGCGGGCTCGGCCCCAGAATGGCCCATACGCCGGAAGTCCCGCCCCGGAAGTAGAGAGTCGTGGGCCGCGGAGCCAAACAGGGCGGAGGTAGGCACCGGGTCCCTAACCGGTTCGTTTCAGCCTCTCGCCTCCGTTCCCCGCGGCCCACCCTTCCAGCCAAGCGGTTCATGGCTCCCGGGGCGGCCCGACGGGCCCGGCGCAGGCCCCGGGGCGCGCCGCCGGCTCAGGCCCGGGTTGGCTCGGCCGAGGACTGGTGGTGGGAGCGGCTAGCACCGAGTGGTTCCGGGTTCCACTTACTGCAGGCGGACAGCATGTTGCTGGTGCTGCCCGACTCCGGACCGGTCCGCGCCCACTCACAGAGACGCGCCGCCCGCCGTGCACAGCGCCAGCCGGCCTCGGGTCCCCGCGCCGCCGCAGCCAAGGCCAGATCTCGGCCCGAGCCCGAGCCCGAGCCCGAGCAGGGGCCCGACCCGGGCTGGGGCGACCGGCTCCCCTTGGAAATCCTGGTGCAGATTTTTGGACTGCTGGTGGCGGCTGAGGGGCCCATGCCCTTCCTCGGCAGGTACCACGACATCCGGGCCCCCAGGATGAGCCTGCAGCTGGGGCGGGAGTGGGGACAGAGCGCACACACACTGTACCTGGGCATCCAGTCATAAGTTGCCGTCACTCAGGTGGGCCAGTTGGAGCCCAGGTACCTGGCTTTTGAGCTGGAGTGTCTGTCGTGGTCCGAGACTTGCGAAAGTAGGTTCCTCTCTTAAGGGAATCCCGCAGCGGCAGTCCCGGATGAGCACCCTAACAGGGACCTAGCCTCTCATCGCAACTGTTTCCCAGGGCTGCGCGGGTGTGCCGACGCTGGCACGAGGCCGCCTCCCAGCCCTCGCTCTGGCACACCGTGACCCTGTCGCCCCCACTGGCAGGCCGCTCCACCAAAGGTGGAGCCAAGGCGGAGAAGAAGTTGCTTGCATCCTTGGAATGGCTTATACCCAACAGGTGAGGGGTTCCCTTTGGTCTTCTCTCCTCATTCCGCCTGTATGGGGTGTGGATAGCCCTAGACGCCCTCCTATATACCCCTACATCAGGCCGGGAGGGGGGCCTTTTGGGGACACAGAGACAAGTCTGCCTCTGCTGTCGGCCCAGGTTCTCCCAACTGCAGAGGCTGACCCTCCTTCACTGGAAGTGCCAGGTGTCCCCTGTGTTGAAGGTGAGTGTGGAGGCGACCCTGCAAACCAGTGTGGCACTCCAGGGAGTGTGTCAGGTACGACAGGGGTCGGATTTGGGCTGCTGGTGTCTCCTCCAGCAGTGTCTGACCTGTACCTCAGAAGGGTGGTGTCAGAGATCGGGGTACCCAGGTATGGGCAGAAGACAGCTGTGAAGTGAAGCCTGCTCTACCCTCTCCTGGCCCCCTCTGCCACAGCTGGCTAGCGAGTCCTGCTCTCGGCTCACCTTCCTCAAGCTTTCCGACTGCCACGGGTTGACCCCCGACATCCTGGTCATGCTGGCCAAAGCCTGTCCCCAGCTCCACAGCCTGGATCTGCAGCACTCGACGGTGAGCCCGGTGTCCCCAGGGGCTCTGAAGAAACGGGGCTGAGGTGACAGGCACCCCTGTGCTGGGCCCCCAGGTGGAGTCTACAGCTGTTACCAGTTTCTTGGAGGAGGTGGGGCCCCGGATGCGCAGGCTGTGGCTGACCTACAGCTCCCAGACCACAGCCATCCTGGGCGCACTGCTGGTAGGTTGGTGATGGGTGGGCACAGCCAGATGCTAAGTCCAGGGCCCAGCCAGCTCCCTGAGCCCCCCCATCCTTTCAGGGCAGGAACTGTCCCCAGCTCCAAGTCCTCGATGTGAGCACTGGTCTAAGCCGTAACACCACCCCCCTGCAGCTGCCAGTGGAGGCCCTACAGAAAGGCTGCCCCCAGTTGCAGGTACCTACCACCCTGTCTCCCTCGACTGCTCATCCCCCCACTCCCCATCCATAGCCTGAGCCTCACCCTTAGGTGCTGCGACTGCTGAATCTGGTGTGGCTACCCAAGCCTTCTGGGCGTGGGGTAACCCCAGGCCCAGGCTTCCCCAGCCTGGAGGAACTCTGCCTCGCCAGCTCCACCTGCAACTTTGTGAGCAATGAGGTCCTGGGCCGTCTACTGCATGGCTCCCCCCGCCTGCGTCTGCTGGATCTTCGAGGCTGTGCCCGTGTCACGCCGGCTGGCCTGCACCATCTGCCCTGTCAGGGTCAGCCACCCTGGGCAGTAGGGGGCTGGTTTGGTGGATTGTGGAGGCCCTGTGCTCGGGAAGCTCATGCTGCCCCTTCTCCCTCCAGAGCTGGAACACTTGTACCTGGGCTTGTATGGCATGTCTGACCGCTTGACACTCGTCAAGGAGGGCAGTCCCCTGCTGACCCAGAAGTGGTACTGCACCTTGCGGGAACTGGACTTGAGCGGCCAGGGCTTCAGTGAGGTGGACCTGGATCAGGCCCTAGCCGCCTTCTCCCGTGCCTCTGGGGGCTCACACCCCGCCCTGTGTTCCCTCAACCTCAGGGGCACACGGGTCACAGCCGGTACAGTCAGGTCAGCCCCTGCCTGCCTGCCCAGTGTGGGGATGGAGTGTTCAGCTTGGGGGTCAGAGGGGAGTACATGCTGGCCAAGCCCCTGCTTGGGATTGGCCTTCGGGTGGTCCATGTAGGCTCTGGGCTGCTAAGGATCCTGGGCTGTAGGTGATGAGGTCACTAGGGGCTGGGGACAGCTTCCAGTCCCATGGTCCTGTTCTGCTACCACAGCTCTGTGATAAGCAGCTGCCCAGGCTTGGCGTACCTCAACCTGGAGTCCTGCCGCTGTCTTCCCCGGGGCCTGAAGCGGGCCTACAGGGGCTTGGAAGAGGTGCAGTGGTGCTTGGAGCAGCTGCTCAGCAGCCCCCCATCCCCAGCTAAGTAGCTTCAGACTCCGAGCCCCTCTGCCACTCTGGCCTTATATTGCTAACCAGTTTTGAATATTGAAGTATTTTGTTACAATAAACTTTTTTAAGAACTATGGATGATCCTTGAGGTAGGGGTGAGGGACCACGGAGGGCCCGGTGCCAACCCAGCCTGGGGGTGGCCACGGGGTTGTCAGTGCGCCTGTGTTGGGCCGTTGTCTTGCACTGTGTGCCACATGTCACACTGATGTACTTACTGTTCCTGGTGGCGGCAGGCCGGGGTTCCAGCAGAGCTGAACCCAGGCCTCCTATGAGGGAGGGGTGGGGCAAGAAGTACACGCCCACCACAGGGCCTGACGTCGGACCTAGAATGAAGGCCAATAGGAGGCCCGTTCTAGAATGTGCAGCCCAGAATTTATAGAACCTGTGCGCGGCCTGGCGTGGTCAGCCGCCTGGCCTTGCGCCCTTCACCTGTGTGCTCTGTCTGAATTGCAGTCCTGGATAGTGTCACCCCCCAGGTATGAGCGTCACTGCGGTTGGGTGCTGGTGAGGCGGCCTAACTGATAACCGGTGCCTATCCAGGTCTCCAAGGGCCAGATCAGCGGCCTGCCCACTACCTCCGGTGGGAACCGCTTCCAGCTCTGGGCGCTGGGATGCTTCCGCACCGAGCGCACCCTGGCCAAGCATCTCAAGAGCAACAGCTTCTACCCTTTCACTAGGCAGCAACCTAATGGTGTGTGTGGGGTGGGGCCGAGGTGGAACCTAGAGATGCTGGGGGCGCCTGGAAGGGATGCTGCGAAGCCGAGTTTAGACCTCAGGCCGGCTGGGGGAAGGGGCAAAGTTGAGAGGGATAGCGCAGATAGGATTCGGCTAAGTCAGGACGCAGACTGCAGCCCCGAGCGCCCCCATTCCGGCGATCCTCACGGGCTGCGCCGCCCCCAGTTTTCGTGCTCGAGTACTACCTGGACACTCTGTGGAAAGGGGCGCTGCTCTTCGTTGTCAGCCTCTTCCTAGTCAGCTTCTCCTTTAAGGTCTGCGCTCCTGGGCCTTACCCCACCCTCTTAGGGCGGGATCTCCACCACTCCGTGTCCAACCCCAGAGAGCCCTCCCCAAGCGCCGGTCCCTGGGTGCCCGCTCCCCTTCCTGAGTGACCGCCCACTTGAGCACTTGGCAGCCTAGCTGACTGACTTCCCACGTGCTCCGCAGGTGCGGGACCAGCAGCCATGGGGCTTACCGGTGTACGGCGTGGTCATGGGCCTGTGGCTCATGGTCTCCTCACTGCCACGGCGTCGCCTAGTACTGAACCACATGCGCGGCCTGTACCAATTCTCTATTCAGGGCCACACAGTGTTTCAGGGCCCCTTGCACCTGATCTACGTTCGCCTGGCACTCAGCTCTGACGGTGACCCGCGGGACGGGTGGGGCATGGAGAGGACCCGGGAAGGGTTCAAAGGCTGAGCTCCAATCGCCCGCCCGTCTGTCTGTCTGTCTGTCCCGCCAGCCCACGGAAGGTGCTTCTTCCAGCTTGTCCTATGCGGCCACAAGCTGGAGCCGCTGGTGTTGGTGCAGCTGTCTGAGCGCTACGAGGTAGGGAGGAAGGGAGGTAGGTAGGTAGGCCCCGCCCTGCCTCCCCCAACACGCCCCTCATAGGGCGTGCCTCCCCTTCCTTGGGACAAAATTAGTTTAACAACGTTTAGGGCTTTAGGACTCCCGTTCAGCAGACTAACGGTGAGTGAAAGGGGGCGGGGGTCGAGGGCTGGGACCAGTGACCTGGCGGGGGTGACACCTGGAGGGATCTTTCCTGACCCTGTAAGAGCTGAGTACTGCCGCTACACTACACAGCAAATGGAATTCTTGGGCCGCCACATTGCCCGGAAGCTCAACATTAACTACTTTGACTACGTTACCACATCCTATCGGCATGTGGTCCGCCATTGGCCGCTGGGAGCCACCCACATCCCAGGCATTGTGCTTCGAAAGGATCACACCTACAACCAGGTCAAGCGGTCTCTGTCTGACCTGGACGTGTGACGCAGTGTACCTGAATCTCAACCCATTCCCTAGTCCACCCGGACCCAGGGCTGACAGCGCTCCAGTCCTACCCACTGGCTTTCCCTGCAATACAGCTGCCTTTGAACCCAGGGTTTTTTGGACCGCAGAGTCTCTCTCTCTGTCTGCAGGGGATGCTAGTGGGAGAGGGAGGAGACACCTTCCAGGGTCTTCCCTTAGCCTACACCTTCCAGGGTTCTACCTGGACCAAACGCCTGGCCGCCAGAGTTTATGTATGAAGAACAATGTGGGGTAGGAATCAGGGGCAGCATGGATCTTAGAAGGTGGGCCTATCATGGGACAGATGCAGGACCCACAGCCCCTTGGGGCCACCTGCATATCACTCCTACCAACCTTGGGCTCCCACCCCCCTCCCCTTAAGATGGGTGACCAGAACCTGGCCTACCTGCCTTCAGAGATGTGACCAGGAGTTGGAATCTGATTGGTCTACACTGGGCCGGTCATCAGTGGGATGCAACAAGGCCCTAGACAAACCCTGTGCCTGGGGGGGTCAGCAACACACACCCAAATTAAATTGCTGCTACCTAGAGTTCTGGTAGCGTAGTGGTTACGAATCGGGCTGTGAACCGCAAGGTCAGCAGTTCGAAACTACCAGCCGTTCCACAGGAGAAAGATGAGGCTTTCTGCTCCCGTAAAGATTTACAGCCTCAGAAACCTTGTGCAGGGTCACTGTGAGTTGGAACCGACTCCACGGCACATAACAACTACAACAACAACAAGCCCTAGGGAGTAGGTTGTCCAGAGATGCCTGCCAGGAGACAGGCCTGCTGGCTGTGTGGTCTCGGTGGCCATGTTGGGAACCCTTGCCTATATCCTCTCACCTGGGGAGCTTCCTTAAAAACTCACTTCCGTATCTGATGCAGCCTGGGCAGCAGGACTAGGAAGGCAGTGAGGTTTAATGGCTCTCTCCGGTCAGTCTCAGGGCCAGGCTGGTGATCACAGGCATCAGACATGTGTCATTTGAGTGTCCCTAGGATCAGAATCAGCTACATAATTTGCTGGGCCTGGTACAGAATGATAATGAGGAGGCACTTATTAAAAAACCTCTGAGAATTTCAAGTCACTGACAGCACTCCAATCCCAGACTGACACCCTCGCAGCCTGTCTGCAACCCGGGTCAGCACCCAGGCTAATTCCAGGTCTGGAGGCTGGCTAACCCCACAGGGACACCGGCACACTGCCTGTCTCTACAGCAGGGTTGAGGGCTGGAACCCCTCCCCTAGAAGATGGGAACCAGCTTCTACCAAAGAGGCTGACAGCTGAGGAGTTGAGTGCAGTGGGAAATGGTGAGGAGTGAGCAGTTGGGACAGACTGGGTGGGGTGATGCTGCTGGTCAGCATTGATGGAGCCAAAGGGTACATGCCACCCCCTTGGATTCTGGGAGGCTGCTCAGCTTGGACAGCTGGGCTCATGCCTAGCTAAGTCTTAAAGGCATGGGTGCACGATTTGCTGGAGAGCTGGCTGTGGGTGAGAGAAAGAAAGTCTGCTCAGGGGGTACTGGGTTTCAGTTTCTCAGACTCACGCACACTCCTGCCCTCTGGGGTGAGTTCATTTTGCCACTGTAAAAGGCCTAACGACTTGCAGCGCCCCTCACCGACAGCCAGCTTCCAAACCCCTTGCCTACCTTCTCAGACACTCTTGGCCCCAGTTGTAGCTGTTTGAGGTCTCCAAGGAGGACACCGTGAGCTGGAGCCCCTCACAGCACCCATGGGAGGGAGGAGCAGGGAACTGGGTAGGCAGAGCTGGGTGCCAGCCGTAAAGGTCATTGTTACTCACCAGGGGTTCTGGAGTTGGAACATGGAGTCATTCTTCATGGTGTTAAAATGGGTTCCCTAAGAGGATGTGGCTTTGGACCAGCCCTTTCTGGGAGAGTGAAAAATAGGGGTCCTACATCACATGTCCACCCTGAAAGGGGCAATGGGGACAATCAAGGGGCCTGGGTGGCCTTGGATGGAGGGAATGACAGAGTGCTGTCCTGTGAGAATGAGAACAGTGGAGAGGCCCCGGACAAGGATGGGAGTGGTGTTGGGGAGGAGGTCGTGCCCATGGGCACTCTTGCTCGCTCGAGTCGCCCATAAATGTGTGGGGAGCAGGCAGGCAGAGCTGAGTGTGGAGCTAAGGGGCAGGTGGGTACACAGGGAGAGGGGAGGGAGGCCCATGTTGGAGGAGGAACACCAGGTTCCTGGGCCCAGCAGGTGAAGTGTCCCACCTTTGCTGTTGCTGCCCTCTGGTGGTGACATCTTGTCCCTCCCTCTTTTCCAGAAGTTCCTCCTTAAAATCCCCTGGAGGAGGAAGGGCAGGGGGGTGGGACAGTGGACCGGATCTGTGTATGGACAGGGCTGTGGGTACATGGGGACACATTTGTGGAAACACACCCACCTGTTCACTTGAGCTATGTACACTCCCTGCTTGGAAATTCTTTCTCCAGTGTTTTTAAAAAGACAACCTTACCCAAGGCTTACCCTCCTGAAAGCACGTGGTACCTGAGCCACTTGGGGCTAGCTGGAGACCCTGGACACAGGAGGCTGAGAGCTGGCTCTGCCCACAGCATGTTAAGTGGCTGGTCCAGTAGGCTTGCCAAAAGCAGCCACCCCCTAGCTGACCACTCTCCTGACCTTGGCTAAATCCCTCATATATTTGCTTAGTAACAGAAACATGTCATTTCATAATGAGACGTCTGGAGTTTTTTTCAAAAGGATGAGAGTAAGGCAGCAGGGCTGAGTGGGTTCTTGGGAGGGTGGGGGTAGCCCCCGGGGGGCTCCTCACCTTGGTGTAAATTTGATAATATCTGCACTTTTAAGTAGATTGGATATGTTCTATCATGAAACCTTTTCTAAAACTTGGGACACTCACATTTAGGTGTTCCAATTTGCTTTTCTTTGGTTCCTTCTAAGGTGTCTTATTTCTTGTGTCCTGGGTCACCTGCTAACTAACCACTTCTGGGTCTCAGGATTTTTTTTTTTCTCTAAGTCATCTCTCTTACTCCTCTGGTATTTGCTTTTTGGTTTTACTGGTCTCATGTATCAGCTCAGCCTTCCCAGACCTCCCTAGCCGGGACAGGGTCTTTCTGAACTGACCTTGTCCCCATGGGCCTCACTATGCAAAGTAGGTAGTGCCTTCTTAGGGTGCAGCCCCTCTTCCTGCTCTCCCAGTCCACAGGAGCGATCCCTCTCTGGGGCGGCTTTCTCTCCCAGATCTCAACACCCTGGCCCAGAAGTGGATCCCAACTGCTTGCTCCACTATGCTGGCTGCAGACCACCCCTCAACAAGTCCCAGGGGGACCCTTGAGCACACCCTTTGCTGACGGTGTCACCCCTTATCTGTATTTGCTTTGGCTCCCCTTCACCTTGGCCTCCTGTCTCTAAACCTCACATCCTTCTTGTCCCACCTATGACCTTGTCCTCTGTCTCCTGATGGTTACTCACTCGAGGACCCCTGACACTGTCATTACCAATGACTGCTCCCCCGTTTCAATTCCAAAATCCATTTTCTGCCTAGCACCTCCTCCTCCCAGTTTACCCTTTCCCGGGGTCTCCGCTTGTCCTCACCCATTCCCCATCTAACCCCACGCAGTGCAGAGGACGTAGTCACCACCATGCCCCTGTGCCCTTCTCAGTTCATCTAGCAAAACCCCAAACCAGGATAAGCCAGCTCAACTGCTTACCAGCCACTGATCCTGGGCACCAGGAGAAAATGCATGCCTGCTAGACACTTTCAAGTGACTACCCTCTCGTCTTACAGGCCTTGGTACTGCTAGAAATCCTGTAGCATTGCCTCCTCTGGGGCACCACTACCACCTTCTCTGCCTCATCCCTGCCTTCCTTCCACACCCAGTCTCAGCTGAAGTCCCTGTTTCCCACTCTGCTGAAAAAACAGAACCAAGCAGAAGAGATGTGACCTTGGACGCCCACCAGCCAGCACCCATTAGCACCTGGCCCCTAGATGCACACCTGTGCTAGCAGCCCTCCCATAGCCACTAGACCCCACTTTCATCACTCAAGGCACTGCCCACAGTGTCCTGCGTCCAGCTTCATCCATCGCTCTCACTGCCCTCTGGCTTCATCTTGCATCAGACTCCTACTTAATGCTTGCTGGCCCACTGGCCACTAGGCTGCTCCTCAAAGACAAATTTTCTGTGACTGTTACTAGTCTTCAAGACACACCCACCTTACCTCAAGCCATTGCGACGCCTCTTTCTTTCCTTTGAAGGAAAAGCTCAACAACTACCATTTCTGTTCTACCCACATGCCACTCAAATAGCTCCTATCCGGGTCACCACGACAGACCATGTGTGGGTCACTCCTCCCTAACCCCTTCATCTTCTAGCCTCACATTCTCTCATGCTTCCTTCCACTCTGACCACCCCCTCACAGCCCCCACTGCTGACCGAGCCCTAGGCCTCTCTTCTTTTCCTGGTGGTGCCACCTGGCGTGTTTCAGTGTGGGCCACATGCTGATCTGAGGTCAGCTAGATCTCTCTCCAGAATTGTCAAATCCATCTTCACGGAGCTCAGGCATCTCAAGATGAAGGAGTCAAAAACCAAACTCCTGACTAATCAGTGCCCGGCTACAACCACAAATTGCTCGGAATAGGAGGAAAATGTGGAACAAAACTCAAGGTCATAAAACAGACCGGGCTCGTTGGTCAGATGGGGACTGGACTGAAAATGAACTCGCTCCATGTTCAGTGAAACAATAGACAGGTCTATATAATCAAGTAGCAGGAGGAAGGGATTCACTCCTTAGAACAATCATCCATTTGAGATCAACAGGGAAGCGCCTGCTCAAGGACCAAGTTCAGAAGGCAGAAAAGCTAGGAAAGAAGGAAGAATGGAAGTAGGAAACAGTGAGAAAGTGGATGAGTGATGTTACATTGCAAGATTGCAGTCTGCAGCCTGAAACAAAATGTGTGCGAGTTGTTGAATGGAAAACTGGTTTTCTCTGTAAGTTAAGTGCCCGCAA